CTTTTACTTGTGTAGTTGTTTTATTTAGGGTTGGGCAATATTGGCAAAAAAATTAATCATGGTCAATTATGGTTTTTAGCCGATAAAGATTAATTTGACGAGTAATCCCCTGGAGTCCCTGGACCATTGCATGTCCTGGTCACATGACCAATTTTTAAAAAATGTTTATAATATTTGAAGCAGGGCGGAGCACCGAGCAGACTGATGGTAGCATTAATCATATTAATCAAGTGCCAAAAAGTAATCTGTTTTTCTGACGATTAATTGCACACGATATGATTATGCCCAAGCATCATCCTTACAAAAATATAAAGATATGTTTCAGTAAATATGTCACCGGAAATGTGCTGTCTTACCTACCACTTTTTCTTTATGCAATATATATTCTTAAAATAAATTACAAGATGTACAACTAGTGACAAAACGGACATTTTTGGATCTCAGCCTATCCTTTAAATAAAGGTTTACTTTATCTAGAGGCTTGTGTAGCACCATTAGCTTATCAGTGATTAATAAAAGTCACAAAATGGGAATAGATGAACGTTGTTTAAATGTAACGTTTCAGAATAATTGGAAAAAGTCTCTCAGGTTCTGTTACTGAACAGTGCCAAGTCATGGTGACGGTGCAGAAAGACTGGAAAAAAGTGCTTCATCATTTGTYGTCAGGTTTTATAAAACTGCCTCAGTGAAAATCACTTATAAAGTCTATAAAATGGTGCATGTTTCAACAGCCAGTGGCAGCGATCCAGTGGTTAAAAATGTAAACGAAACGTATCTAAACCTGTAAGTCGTGTGTTAGCATGCCCTCTGGCAGCCAGAGGTATTTTTAAACTATTGTTCTTTACAAACTAAGCAGCTTAGACAGGTTAAATATTTGTGCAGCTTTCTTTAGTTATTTTAGCACAGAATAGTTTCTGCACCAGATAGAGGAGAACAGGAGGCCTCTGTTACATGACACATCGATTAAAGTAAAAGTTTTAAATTTGAGGAGGTCTCAGAGAGCTGCAGCGTGGAAGATACAGAAAGAGGAACAATAATTGCATATTTTACAAAAATAATTGGTTTTAGGAGGTGGATGACAAGCTGSCCAGCTGCTTTGTTGTTGTTTTTGTTACTTTTAATGTGCCACTGATTCATCAATTTGTTGGCTTTGGCTGATTCAGTTAAAAACACTTCCTTATTTGATGTTAATACTGTGACTATTACATTAAAATGTATAGGACATTCAAAAGAATATAAACCCAAATAATTTATGCAACAGTCACCAGAGTCCGTCTGATGTTCAAATTTCTTTTTTTATTTTTATTTTTAGTCACTCAAAGTGAACTTGATGCAAAAAAAGAAGTTTAATTGTGGTAGTTTTAGTGAAACTTTGTGCTTGACTTTACAACTCTGACAGAAATCCTGCTTATGGGCTGAGAAACATGCTCAGTTTTTAAGAATTTTCTGAGTATTTCATATTATAAATGTTTTCTGGCTGTTTAAAATGTCCTGGTGGTGCCTGGAACGAACCTGCAGGTACGTTTAAAACAAAACAAAGACTGAGGTCAGGTTAAACTGGACAGTTGTGTTGATATGTTATGGGTGTGTTCACAACAGGCTAAATTACCCTCACTGACCAATCAAGTAAAGAAACAAACCTCTAATGTGGACATCACAAACAGACTGAGGACTAGGGCTGCCACAAACGATTATTTTTATAAATCGATTAATCACCGATATTTTTTTGATTAGTTGACTAATCAGATCAAACGTTAATTGAATATAAAACATTCAGCATATCACGTCAGAATGCAGCTGCTATTATAT